TGTGAAACTAGGGTGACTAACATGAAAAGGAGGTTAATTTATGCGTTATTTTAGTCATGTGATAGTTGTGTGTTATGTTTGTAAGTCAAGCGAGTTGTGGAACGAAAGTTGGCAGAGGTCATCAGAAGTTACATTCACAATGTGCTGAAATTTAGGTCAAATATAGTTGTACTTTTCTCCCAATATACTTGGAATCAAGGGATGATATATATGTCAAATTGAATATCTACGAGTCTAGTTTCTAACTCATTAAACCGTTTGTCGGTACGATATTGGACTAGAGAGATATTCATATTTTCGCGAGACTGCGCAAGCAACTCCCATGGGACCCACAAAGTCGGTTTAAACTTCAACTTGTATTTTAGTCATTTGTATGTCATTCTAAATCATTTTTCTCATCCACAATAGTTCCTAAACCTTTCTAAATGCTCTCCAAGGTTTCCTCCATGATTCTAGGGTTAAAACCTAAGATAAAAATATGAATCCAACGTTAGAAATCCCGTGGTACTTGCTAGATCGTAGTCCTTCATCTTGTGGTTGTTTTGGAGGGTTATTCAAAGGTAAGTAACTTTAGATTTCATGTTGTTATTTAGGTTTAAGATAATAATCAGTCACTCCTTCATATATATTAGAGTTTCAAGGTGAAATACAAGTATTTACTCACCAACTTGAACACAAAGGTTGATTCAAAAAGAGAATACAACTCCGATAGTGTTGTGGTATGATTGAGGGTTGGTGTGAGCTACACCAGCTGGGGATTTCAACTTGTATCTACTGACTAAGGTATGTAAATCATTTTCTTAGTTGTGCTTAAGGTCAATCATGTTTTGGTTGAGTTGTTTGAGTAACAATCTACAAGATAGTATTTGACATGGAATAAGGAATCATTATCTTTTTTTGTGGGATGTGTTGAGGCTATATATATTGTTTGTTGTGGCTGGAAATTGTTATAAATAGTTTTATTATATTGTGTCTACTATTGTTAAGCTTATCTATGTGCTAATTTAGTGGATTGAAGAAGATAACATGAAAAATAAGATGTTGACGGTAAAGGTTAAGGTGCTAGGCATATGGACTATATTTGAAGATTATGCTTATGATGTTTTGGGTTGAAAACGGTATGGTTAGTATAAGTATGATGTTATATATGTTACAGACATATTCATGGAAAATTAATTGGATTCAAACCATATCTTGTTAATCGTAAATCGAGCTTGCCGCTCAAAATGATTGTGGAACTAATCAGAGAGCTTATTATGAATTATATTGTTGTTGTTTGGGCTATATGGTGACTTTTGGTAACATATGGGATGTAGTACAAACAAGGGAAGTGCTGTCCGTTTTCTTGTAGAATATTGGTTTCCAAATATGAGAGTTACAACGCTTATATGATGACGACGAAGTCGGTTTACTCATTGTAGATCTAAGAAGATCATATTGAGCTTGCTTGATGATTTGATAGAAGATTTCAAAGATATGTTAAGGTACATCCTTCTTTCTTTTGGCATAATCTAAAGTGAAATGAATAAGTAACTGATCTACTCCTAGCAACTAAGGTTGTCCATGTTATTCTTTCCTTATAAAGTTATTCTAAGCAAGTGTGTATGATCCTTGAATCTTATTGAGGTTCATATTAAGGGTATGGATTTCCATAATGTTAATCGAAGGTGCAACGACCATAAGTCATTCCGAAAGGTTTAGAACGTGATTCCATGAGTCTAGCATGCATTATATATAATATCTATTTTACTCTATCGAGTCGTGCTATAGTCGGCCGGGTACGGAACCTATTATGCAACCACTAATCAATTGGGTTTACCGAGCTCCACATGACCGGGTACAATTCTACCGAGCCTTATGATGGCCTGGTATATTTTTACTGAGTCCGCTTTTAGGCCGGGTACGACATGATGATGATTCCCACAGAGGCATATGTTTTTAAAAGTTTATATATATATATATATATATATATATGTATTATGCATTTCATGTTAGTAGCCCCCAGAGGCACTTAGATATTACAGGTTGTATCTCCTCTATCTCTTTTTACATTACTGTTCTTATTTATGCTTTCCTGCCTTACATACTCAGTACTTTATTCGTACTAACGTCTCTTTTTCCTGGGGACGTTGTATTTCATGCCCGCCGGTCCCGATAGACAGGTTGACATTCCTCCTAGTAGGCTATTAGCTCAGCGAAAGATGTTGGTGCACTCCACTTGCTCCGGAGTTGCCTATTTGGTCAGTATGATTTGGACATGTATTGATTGGTATGGCGGGGCCCTGTCCCAACCTTTATGATATGTATGTACTCTCAGAGGCTTGTAGACAGATGTCATGTATATGAAACATTGTATGGCCTTGTCGGCCTATGTTCAATGTACTAGTATTCATTTTGGTCTTATAGGACCGTATGTCACATGTATAAGTTTGCATTACATGTTGTGTCCTCCTATATCAAGTATTCCCTTATGTTTTATTCTGGTTATATCATGACGGCCTTTCCGGACCATTTACCCATGATGGTATGATTAGAAAGATACGTTACATTGGTACTCGATTGGGTAAGGCACCGGGTGCCTGTTGCGGCCTTCTGATCTGGGTCGTGACATTACGGTCAGCCCAATTCGCATTTGCGAACATTTCTTTGCTTTTGCGAAGGAAGCAGAAATGTGGGAGTCTTCTCAAATGCGATGGTTTTTTGCATTTGCAGGCTTCACATTTGCGACATCTGCAGCTGGGTAAATATGACTTAGACGAGATTTTTATCCCATTCTTTAAATTTTAAAACCTAGAAACACAAGAAGAGATTTTCCAAAGACTCTTTCTTCCCCAAATCATAAATAAGTGACTCTAACCTATCTTCTTTCAATCTTACACTACATTTTACAAGATTTCAACAAAAGATCTAAGGTTTTCATGGTGGAATTGGGAGGTTTGTGTATAAACAACGGATTTGATAAATTAGGGACTTGGACCTCAAATTGAGGTCGGATTCCAAAACTAATTATATATCCGAGCTTAGTGTGAATGTGTAATCGGGTTTTGGTCCGAACTTTGGATTTGGACCAAGCGGGCCCGGGTGTTGACTTTTTCAATAATGGCCTAATTGAATTCTTGCAATCGTGGGTAGTTCCTAAGGCTTAATTTGAATTGTTTGGTTGGAGTATTGCTAGATTCTATTGGTTCGGAGGCTTTTTTGAGAGGAAAATCCGTGGTTGAGCTTTGATTTTGGCCATTAGAGCGAGGTAAGTGTCGTGGTTAACCTTGTCTTGAGGGATTAGATTTTATTTGCCTATTTGCTACATGTTTGAATGTTGGGTACAACGTATAGGTGAGGTGACGAGTACCTATGTGTTGTTGTAGGGTTATAGCTTGCGGGTGGGTCTCATTCTTGCAATTGCTGCTTTCCTTCATTACATTATCCATGCTTAGACTAATTAATCATTACATTGATCGTTCTTATCATGTTTACGGACTTTAATATTGATTGGGTAGTGATTCAAAGTTGAGATTGGTATATTGGAACAAAACGTTGAACTAAGACTTGTTCTTGTTATTTCCATCTCCATGTTGCTATTATTCATTGTTTTGGTGAGGAAGAGTGTTAATACACGAAGGGTGATGCCGTGCCATGTTGTGTGAGTGTTAATGCACGAAAGGTGATGCCGTGCTATATTATGAGAGAGTTAATGCACGAAGGGTGATCCCGTGCCATTTTTGTTGATTCATATAGTGAGGTTGAGAGTAAAAGCACGAAGGGTGATGCCATGCATTTTCCTTTACTGCATTACTTGTTTCGATCTGTTTAAGGTATATTGGTTAACCAAGTTCTTATTACTGCTGTGATTCTTTGTCTTGTGATCCCCTCAGCACGTCCTCCTCCCGATATTATTTGTCTAGCTCTTATTTGTTGTTATCTTTGTGCATATACTGTTAAATTGTACAGGTTTATTTGTGGGTGTCTTGTCTTAGCCTCGTAACTACTTCGCTGAGGTTAGGCTCGACACTTACCAGCACATGGGGTCGGTTGTACTAATACTGCACTCTGCACTCCCTTTGTAGATTTTGGTACTGGCTCGAGCTGATAAGGTTAGTTGCTGGATCCATCCTATAGGAGACCCAAGGTAGATCTACCGGCATCCGCAGACCGTGGAGTCCCCTTCTAGACATTTCATTTTACTGTTTATTTCATTTCAAAAATAGTTGTATTTCTTTCAGACATTTCCTTGTTGTGAATCTTAGAAGTTCGTAAATTGTGACTCAAAATCTGGGTAGTAGAATATATATATTGAGGCTGTTATGAATTTTTGCTTTCATTGTAACTCGTTATAGCTTAATCACTGTTAATTATTAAAATGCATAAGATCTGGCATAATGAATCTCTAATGTTAGCTTTCCTAGAAAGTGAAATGTTAGGCGCCATCACGGTTCCGAGGATGGAAATTCCGGGTCGTGACACTTGAAGATTTTATATCCAAATTCACGGTCCAAATTAAGAAATTTTACTCTTAAAAATGCGATCTATGGCACATAAATTTGGATGAATTGAATAATAAAGACATATGTTTTCCTTTTATTTATTTTGAATCTTAAGGAAGAGATCATCGATTCAAAATACTAGATATTGTGATATGCACATGTGGCAAGCTGTGTAAAGCTGGCTGCCAACTAGATGCCAACTAAGATGTTTTAAGTTAGTTGTAATTAGTTGTAAGAGATAGTTAGGAAGGTTAAGCATGTGATTAGGCGGTTAGGATATTTTGTATATATACACTTGTTAGTGGCAATGAAACAATGGATTTCCACTTTCTTCTTCTGCAATTCATCTTTTTCTCTACTCCTTAGAACATTCTAGAGCATTGATGCTGAGAATTAACAAGATAATTGTAGCATTTTGGCATGGTATCAGAGCGTCGATAATCAAGCAGATGTTCGAGGTTATCAATTGAAGATTAGCAGTGAAGGAATTGAATCAAAATCTGTTCATTTTACTCAGCTATGGTTCAAAAACTTTCTGCTGATAAACTCACCTACACTTATCCTCTGTTCATGAATCTAGGAGATACACCTGGTATGATACTGATCCCTTTGAAGCTCACCGGATCGGAGAATTACGGAATGTGGAGCAGATCGATACAGATTGCACTCATGGCGAAGAGGAAATTATGGTTTGTAACTGGTACCTATAAGCGAGAATCCTTTGAGGCAGAGTTTCATGAGCAATGGGACACTTGCAACGCGACAGTCCTTTCATGGATCATGAACACAATATCATTTTACCTCCTCAGTGGAATTGTATATGCATCTGACTCACACGCTGTTTGGCAAGACTTACAAGAGCAATTTGACAAAGTAAATCGCATGAGGAGTTTTCAAGTTCATCGGCAAATTGTGATACATCACAAGGCACTAATTTAGTTTCTGTATATTTTTCAAAATTGAAGGAATTGTGAGCTGAATATAATGCAATGGTACCTCTACCTGATTCTGATTGTGCTAAGTCGAAGGATTATATTGAACATTTCTATCAACAGAGGTTACTGTAATTTCTTAGTGGTCTAAATGATTCGTATGACTAATCTAGAAGGGAAATTCTATTAAAAACAATTGTACCCATATTTAATCAGGCTTATGCTATGATAGTTGAAGATGAAAGCCAACACTCTGTTGGTTTAAGCGTATCTGCTGAGAAAGCAGATCCAATGGCTATGCAGATGAATCGTGGACAAACTTATAAAGGAAAAAGCCATTTTGTAGTGTGTGACTATTGCATTATGAAGAGGCATTCAAAGGAGAATTGCTATAAGCTAGTTGGATACCCTACTGATTTCAAGCAAAGGAAAGGACCCTATGGAAATGGAAATGCTGCTTATGGAAGTGGAAATGCTGCAGGTTCAGCTGGTTATAGAGGTCCAACTAGTTTTGGAGGACAATCTGGGAATGATAGAAAACCATTTGCTGCTACGAACAATACCTCCAGCAATATGAAAGGTCAGAAACAAGCACAATACAATCTTGAAGGAGTGTTAGAAGGGAAAATTCCTCACTTCACTGAGGAACAGTACAACCAAATTCTCAACTTTTTGAACAAGGATGTAAAGGACAACGCTCAGGTTAACATGACAGGTAATGATATATATATATATATATATATATATATATATATATATATATATATATATATATATATTGATTCTTGTCGAAATTGACAAATGATGAATGGATTGTTGATTCGGAGCATCACATCATGTAGTATCAAAAAAAGATCAATTAGAACCAGGTCATTTCTCAAGGTCACACACATGTGACAAGGTACACTTACCTATAGGAGCTAAGGCAAACATAACACATACTGGTGAAACATCTCTATTTGATAAAAAGAAAATTACAAATGTGCTATTTGTCCCAGATTTTAAGTATAATTTACTATCTGTGTCAAAATTGACAAAAGAACTTATGCGTTCAGTAGCCTTTTTCCCTCACTTTTGCATCTTTCAAGAGCTTTATAGTGGCAAGGTGAAGGAGATAGGTAGAGAAAGAGGTGGTCTTTACATCTACAAGAGGGGACATGGTAGTGAGGAAGACACAAGACACAGAATAATAGCAATAGCTTGTAAGGAGGAGTGCAGCTTGTGGCACAAGAGGCTGGGTCACCCTTCCTTGTCGATAATGAAATATATGAAAATTGTGCATAGTAATGTGGATAGTAATTTGATAAATAAGTGTCCAATTTGTCCTTTAGCAAAACAGATTAGATTGGTATTTCCTACTAGTAGTTCAAGAGCTGCTTCTATATTTTGTCTTGTGCATATGGACCTTTGGGGACATTAGAAAACACCAACATTTGACAAAAAGTACTATTCTTTATTGTATAGTAGATATAAATGGATATACTTATTGCAGCTTAAGACAAAAGTTATAGTTAGTAGCAAGTCATTCCTTGCTATGGTTAAGACTCAATTTGGAGTCATAGTGAGGTGATTAGGACTGATAATGGAACAAAATTCTTCAACTCACAATGCAATTCATTCTTTTAAGATCTGGGGATAGTTCATCAGAGTAGCTGTGTGCATACACCTCAACAGAATGGGGTTGTAGAAAGGAAGAACATACATATCTTAAACATAGCTAGAGCATTGAGATTTCAATCTAGAATGCCAATCAAATACTGGTGTATTTGCAATCAAACTGCAATATACTTGATGAACAGACTGAATTCTGCTGTGATCGAAGGAAGAAGTCCCTATGAACTTCTATACAAGAAGAAGCCTTCCTTAACACATCTGAGAGTCATTGGGTGTTTGTGCTATGCAACAAATGTACTCAAAGGAGACAAGTTTGAAGAAAGAGCTAGAGCTGCAGTGTTGATGGGATATTCAGAGACTCAGAAGAGTTATATACTTCTGGACCTCCACACACACCAATTATTTGTGAATAGATATGTCATATTCAAGGAAAATGAATTTCCTTTTGCCAAGGCATCCATCATAGTTCAGGCTAAAGTCCATGGCACTCCTGCTCCTATGGAGCAACACATTTTGTTTGATGATTATTTTTTAGGTGAGAAACATTCAAATAGCAATGTTGATCAAGGACCTAATGTTGTGGTACATGATTATGCCATTGAAGATGATAATGATGGGCAGAGTGTTTTTAGTACATAATAGGTACTCTCACCTACTAATAAAGAGCAACTGGTGATAGATACAGGGGCAGCCTCATCTCTTGAGGAGTTGAAGGTTGAGGAGGGTGAAGTACTGACACATGATCAACCTACAACCCTCAAGAGGTCTACTAGAAAAAGTAAGCAACCCATCTGGATGAAGGATTATGTGATTCAAAGTGACAAAACTAGGACCAAACATCCCATTTCCAATCATCTGTTTTATGACAAGGTTACACCAACTTATCAAAGCTATCTTGCCAAGTTCTCCACCTTAATTGCACCTCAGACCTTTAAGGAAGTAGTTAAGGATGAAAGATGGGTAGAACCTATGAAGCAAGAGATTAAAGCCTTGGAAGAAAACAAGACCTGTTGAGGTAGTGACTCTTCCTAAGGGCAAGAATACACTTGGGTCAAAGTGGGTATACAAGATCAAATACTAGGCCAATGGTGAGGTTGAAAGATTTAAGTCAAGGCTAGCTGCAAAAGGCTACAACCAAAGAGAAGGATTGGATTATCATGACACATTCTCCCCTGTGGTCAAGATGGTCACAGTAAGGACAGTGATTGCATTAGCTGTCTCCAAGGGCTGGAACCTGTATCAAATGGATGTGTATAATGTATTTTTGCAAGGTGATCTATATGAAGAAGTTTATATGGAAATACTAGAAGGATTCAGGAGACAGAGGGAGTAGAAAGTTTGCAGGTTGCTTAAGTCCTTATATGGACTAAAACATGCATCCAGGCAATGGAACATCAAACTAACAGATGCATTAGTAGAAGCAAGCTTCATGCAAAACAGCTATGACTATTCATTGTTTACCTTAAAAAGGGGACAAGATGTGGTGATTGTTCTGGTGTTTGTGGATGATTTACTCATCACTGGAAGCAACACTGAGTTGATTGATGAAGCTAAAGGAGTGTTGCACAGAAAATTCTAATTGAAAGATCTGGGAGAGCTTAGGTACTTTATGGGCATTGAAGTCTTGAGGTCTAAGTCAGGTGTCATCCTAAATCAAAGGAAGTATGTATTGGAGTTGGTTTCTGATCTAGGCCTAAGTGGTGCTAGGGTGGCCAACACACCTTTGGAATGCAATCTGAAGCTAACAACTATGGAGTATGATAAGGCAATTGGAGTCAAAGGTGATGAAATGCTGGAAGACATCAACAAATACCAAAAGTTGATTTGGAGACTAATGTACATCACTATCACAAGACCTGATATCAACTTTGCAGTCCAAACACTGAGCCAGTTCATGCAAGCATCAAAGAAGTCACACTGGGAGGCTGCAACAAGACTGGTTAGGTATCTAAGAGGTATAGTAGGTCAAGGAATCTGGCTGCAGGCTACAGAAGCTAATGAGTTGACCTGTTGGCGTGATTCATATTGGGCATCATGCCCAAATACAAGAAGGTCAGTGACAGGATATGTTGTGAAGCTTGGGGACTCTTTGATCTCTCGGAAGTCAAAGAAGCAACAAACATTATCTAGAAGTTCAGCAGAGGCAAAATACAGGAGCATGGCATCAACAATAGCAAAAATACATGGTTGTTGGGGTTGTGCAAAGAGCTAGGCATTGAAACTAGAGAACCAGTAATAGTGCACACTGATAGTAAGGCTGCTATGCAAATTACAGCCAATCCATTTTTTATGAACGGGCAAAGCATATAGAGATTGATTGTCATTTCGTTAGAGACGAGATTAAGTGTGGAATGATCAGGCATATGTATGTTCCTACTAAGGATCAATTAGCAAATCTTTTGACCAAAGGATTAAGTCATGGAGCACATGTACATTTATTGAGCAAGCTGGGAGTGTTGAACACTTTGCACCCTCCAGCTTGATGGGGAGTATTGTGATATGCACATGTGGCAAGCTGTGTATAGCTGGCTTCCACCTAGATGCCAACTAAGATGTTTTACGTTAGTTGTAATTATTGTAAGAGATAATTAGGAAGGTTAAGCATGCAATTAGGCGGTTAGGATATTATGTATATATACACTTGTTAGTGGCAATGAAACAGTGGATTTCCCCTTTCTTCTTATGTAGTTCATCTTCTTCTCTGCTCCTTGGAACATTCTAGAGCATTGATGCTGATAATTGACAAGATAACTGCGGCATTTTGGCACTAGAACTATGCCTATGTTCTAATATGATATTGGAAGGAAAGAATAGAGAACAATTAATATACATAAAATTTATGAACGAAAACGCCGTGTGAGTTGAACTGGTGTTCTACTAAAATTGATGGCTGGGGGAGAGTTTTTGATCTTTGAAATAGCTTCTACTAAAAGGCTAGTTAAGCATCTTCATGCTTCAAAAGTTCAAGAAAAGTAAATGAAGGGTGCACTAATCCGTTGAATTCAGTACCAACGGGTCCCCCCCCCCCCCCCCCCAAAAAAAAACAACGCTCTCTTTCTAGCCTTTCAACCAGTTGATACAATCTCGGAGAGAAACTTTTGCTAAAACTCGAGTAGTTTCTTGAAAATTCGCAAGCATTACACAATTTTCAAGATGGTTTTTGTTTTTTTTGAAAAAAAAGAGAATAGATCATTCATTTTTATACTACATATCCTAGTTTGACACCAAGCAATGAAACTCTTTCTCTAAAAAAGTTTTCATTTAAAAAAACAAGAAAAGTATCAGACTTCGTATGGAAAGACAAAAGCTGACAATTTGTAAAGTCAAGATCAACGGGGACATCCGCTTGGGCAATCTCAAAATTAAATGGATTTTTCGGTCAGTTTTTGAGTTTGGGAGTCAAAATTTAAGACTCGGCAAAAACATGAACCTAGCTAAGAACTTTAGTATGATTATTTTTTTTTTTTTTTGAGTAAATCCTGTCCTGAACATATAGATAGATTGTACACACAAAGCAGGTAATTAGTAATGATTTTTATTTCTCCATTTTAAAACAATTTAATAAGCTTTTTACTCCTCCAAGGAAATTTTTTAGCACAAATATAAATGTAGCCTTCTTTTTGTACCCATCAAATATATAGTTCAAAGGCAAAAAGGAAAGATGCGAAAGCTTGTATGGTAAGGCCTATCCTTACCACCTATACATTTAGATCCTATGAATATAAAGTTTAAATAATCAAAATCTGAAGTATTCCTTTCTATTTCTATAATTGTTTACACTTGCAGCCGTGCAGGTTATGATCGTCCCTCAAATCTTGCCAGTTTGAAAATGCTTTTGAACGATTGAATATTACAATCAAGTTATTATCGACAAAATTACTGGTAAATAACAAGATCGGTAGGGTGAAGATATAAAAGTTCTGCCTCGTCCAACAAAACATATGAATAAGACAAGATTTGCCTAGCCATCAAATCATATAAACAATTTAACAAGATAAATAGAATGAAAATAGTATCAAACATGATAACAAAATTTTTCCATTCTTTTGGGAGGGTAGCGCCAAAGGCTATTTTTGTAAAACTTCCTTAACCATGAACAAAAACAACCTCGAATTATCCTATTTGTGCAAGTCTCCCAAAAATGTAAGAAGTAGCCCGTTGCGTTTGAGCCTATTTATTTTTTAGTGGGTTATTAATTTATTATGCTTTTGACAGATGAAAATACCTAATGCTGTATTGTACACCATCTAAGAATAGTTCTGCAGCTGTCAAGAATTTGCCTTAAGTACTAAATTTGATTATGTTTGCTAATAAAGTTTGTTTGGTAGTATATTTTAGTACACATGTACTATGTTATGGAGGTAGCAGCTCATTCCTTGATATTTTTTTATAAAAAAAATAGGACTGAATGACGACCAACTTGACATATTTTATTTGAAAATCATGACATAATAAAATCAACATAAACATGGGAGTCAGGTCAATGGCCAAGTATACGGTGAGCAAAGTGATTAATGCTGGAAAACTTGAAGATATTGTGTGGGTGTCATAACATATCGTGTGGGACAATTGATCAACGAAAAATGGATAAACTTGAAGAACATGTATTAAAGTGTTAGAAACTCCTCAAATTATCATTGAAAAATACAAAAGGATTATATTCTCACGTCAAAAGGTGATACAATTATATTGTTTAACGTTTTCCTTTTATTTTAACCTCTCGGATAAGCAATGCTAAAACCTACTCAAGGCGAAGATATGAAGAAAGAATGAACCAAATTGTAGTAGCGTAACGTGCGAGAATAATTTAAGAGAATTAGGTCGGAAGAGTACGATAAAATGGTGTACAATATTTACTGTTCCATGTGAGTTTATTTTTGAGTGCAGGTAAAATCGGGGGCGAAGTTTTGCCCGATTCCCCGATAAGGAAACAAGAGGAAAAGATGGTTCTACACAACTACAAGCAAGATCGAAGGGCCCCTCATACCAAAACCCGGAAAGAGTGAACGATGTATCTATGATCGGGTATGGCAAAATAACGGACCCGGACCAAGTAAAGTTCCGAGACCACGGAAAAAGGAGGAACGATTAAGCATGACAAGTTGGGAGCCGTGCTATTTTCCCTCAATCGGATATTACGGTATGAATCCTGTCCGATATCAACTGCGGATTAGCATTTACCAGAAAAAGAAGATTTTTACCTTATTTAGACTTGTATTAGGACCGGCATTCCCCTACTATATAAAGGGGAGATCTTCTTTTTATTTATAGGTATTGTTGACATGCAAATCAAAGCAATAAAAGTTCATTTTGTCTTCTAGCTATTACTCAAAATATTCTTCAATTATTCTCTTCTTTAATCGCAAGCGAGCTTATATCGAGGGTCCGATCGAGGCCAAATTTTAATGTTCAACTTAAGATAAAGCTTGATCATCACATTATAGTTGGTTTAATTATTCATTCTTTCTTTAATTTAACTACTTGATGTTCTTAGATCGTTTGTATTGAATTAAATCATGTATCTTTTAAATCGTGTACAAATTTAATTATTACTCATTTTTAAGGGTAAATAGTTTGGCGCACACCGTGGGGTTAAGAAAAATATTGGTGATTTGATACGAATCTCAATAACACACCATGTTTTATGCTTGTTCTTTGAAATTTTAATTCTAGGTTAGCCTAAGGATGTCAAATTTTCAGTCCGCCTACTTGAACGTTGACGCTGAGTCAGGACATCACGACGAGAACAATAACATGATACCTAGAAATGATGTGCCCTCTGTTGATCCAGATAGTGTCCCAGTTGCCGACCCGGTTGATGCTAACTCACAGGTTTCCATCAATATCAATCTACCGACTGATCCCTAAAACAGCATTCGCGGGGGACCCCAACCAACAGCTTGAGAGGTGCCCGAAGGTGAAGGTTATGGGGTAAGCCTGCGGTTGATTTTTGAAATATTACAGGCTAAGCAAGGGGCGATAGCGCAGCTATAGAACCCAATCTATACCCTTAACAGGGTCAAGCCTGAGCAGTCTCGGGAAAATACTCGAAGGGATAAATAAGTTACCGTAGAACCGGGTGAATTCGGGCCCAGGGAAACTTTCGAGGTGATGAAAATGCTCGAAGCATTCACAAAACGGGAGGAGTCTAGCAAGAAAAAGCTAGAGGCCAATGACAAGAAGGTGCAAACATACAACTCCAGGTTCGATCAGATCCTGGGAGGGCCGCCAATNAGAGAAGTCTGGGTTCCGACGTTCATGGGGGTAATAACTCATTTCCTTTTGGGATTTGGGTATTAGAAGAGTCGCCACCTAACGGATTTATGGTGCATTAGGGCACCTGGAGTAATTAACTCTCAGACTAGTTTGCATTACCAAAGATTAGGGTAAGGAATCGAAATAACCTTGAGGGGAAGATGTTAGGCACCCCTCTCGGTCCACAATAGTGGGTCCGGCCGAACTCATACTTATGTATTAATCCTTTAACAAATAATAAGTTGAAACACATAATTTGTAAATAAAAGCATATCGGACAGTGTTTGACTCAAACAATAATAAGACAAAGAATTTGAGCTAGTTGCATAAAAAAGAGTAAAGTTTAAACATTGGGAATTGAAGAAAGGGGTCCTAGGTTGATTAGCCTACATGATCACCCCATACAATGCTCGGTAAACACTCATCAATAAGAGGCTACACGTGACATTAGTGCGTAATCATCATATCCCTTTCTACTCAATTCCCTCCCCCCCCCTTGGTCATAACCTAAAGCATTCTAATAACCTTAAAATGTCTTATGGATGTATTTCAGGACATCTACTTTTGGACAGTTCTAGACCCTCCTAAGGTTTTAAAGGATACAAGTCTAGGCGTCAATCAAGAACAGTTAGGACTGCATTTAAAGGGAACAAGTTATAGGCCCGCAGTTACCTCCAGAAATATAACAAGTAATTGCACGTCTTCAAACAACAGTCAAGTATTTAAGAGAAGATCCTAGAACATAATATCTAGGTGAGCAGGGATTACAGAGCCTTGAATTAGGACAAAGTGTAAAAATCCTATTTAGCTTTCCTATTGGTTTAAACTTGTTAAATCTGGACGGTTTTAAATAGCAAAAGTACAGTTTCAGAGTTGCAGAATTAATCGCCCTATAGGCTTGGCTAAACGCAGACAGTAATGTCCTAAGAGCATGATATCTACATTGATTTAGTAAAA